TCCTGGTGTATACTATCCCTTTTTTTATTTTTCTTGTCTTTATAAGTTTCTGCATCTTATATCTCTTCTGTCTTTTCTGTACTCCTGTTACTCATACTTTTGTTCTCTCTCTCCTACTGCCATCAGCGTCATTATTCATAATATCCATAATCCAATATTCATAATAGGTATATAAAATTTCATTATTTACTCATTCTGAATTTATATTGTATTCTTTCATTTCCTGCACTAAGTATTTACATATAGATATTTAATTTTTATTGTATTTTGGCGGGTACTGGCTTTGTACGGGTATGTTTTGGAAAATGTTTGAAATTTTACACAGGTTAGGTGGTAGAGCAGGGCTCCCCCTTGGGGGAGTACCTGAACCTCGCCTGGGACATTATAATATTTTTTTTTTCTATTTACTATGTTGCAAATCTTCTTGTCCAATAAAGACATTATTATTATTATTATTATTATTATTATTATTATATAGAGTTATATAAAAGGATGATTTTTTTCACATGTCAAAGAGACGTTCTTGTTGTTTCAACCAATCATTGATATTAATTCTAGCCAATAATTTGGTATCATACACTGATCTTTAGGTAATATCAAAATAATTCGATGGAAACAATGAACAGAAATGTATGGAGAGTGGCGCATAAATATGAATTCGAATTTTTCTGGATTCCTCTAGGACCAGATCTTGCATAACCTTCTACGGACCATCAACTCAAGTGGATGTCCTAATCAGTTATGCAAGATCTGGTCCTAAAGGGACCCAGACAAATTCAAATTCAAGAATAATTCGTACGTCCCTGGGACATCCTATGGACATCCAATTGATATCCCTCAGCGTTGCTGATAAGTAGTCCTATGGATGTCCTAAGGACGTCCTCTGTAGTGCTTGATGAGGAATACTGTAGGATTTAGGTATTCGATTGTTGTCCCAGGGACGTCCCTCAAGGACGTCCCTTGTTGGTCCTCAAGTGGGACATTTTTGCGTCCCACAGACGTCCAATGGACGTCCACGGTACCAAATTCGAACGTCCTATGGACGTCCTGAATGTCCCGACAGGACGTCCTAAGGATATCCATGGGACATAAGTGTGTTATTAGGAATGATGGACATACGTGAAGGACATTGACGGGGAGTATTTATAGCCTACAAGCAATCATTCGTCGGCGAGGTGTAAGAGTTAACGTACTCGCAGGGACAACATATTGAAAATACCGACTGGTACGTCCATATGACGTTTTTTCTAGGACATTGGAAGAGTACAGTTCATGTACTAATTGGGACATCCAACGGATATCCCTTAGGGACATTCGAAAGATGTCCCTAAGGGACATTTCGATTGTTGTAAGATCCTGGAAATATTGAGGGCGTCTGTGCAGAGATATTTGAAGGAATGTACCATCAGGGACATTTCATGGTTGTCTAGAAGGGACATCATATTATAAGATCTGAAGTCATGCCAGAATTCATACTACTCGGGACATCCGATGGATGTCCCTAAAGGAATGTGGAACTGATAACTTCAATAGGCATGAGTAGAAGAAGAATTTGATTGAAACTTTCGATCAAATCAAAATCGATAAATGGGAGAAAGCACTGAAATTCAGATACAGAAACGGTTCACTCCTAGAATATTTCTATAGGAAATTGAAGTTGATCAATTGGGCTGATGAAACATTGTCAGAAGAATCAATAGTGACTATTATTATTTTGGGTTTGCCTGGTTATGCTAAGAAGCAGTAGGAGATTAAAAAAATCAACAATAAGAAAGAACTTTTACAAGCGCTCAAAACCATGAAGATATAGTGAAGAAAAAGTAGGAGAATACATCGGAATAGAAATCAATTCAGGAAAACAATCACGAAAACGTAAATGAAGAAATGAACCAACCTGTGCAAGCAGACGCAAAATTATCACTTTATCAACGAACCTGAAGAAATAAAATGTATTGAATAGTATACACTCAAAACAATTGATGGGTTAAATTAACCAAAAAGAGCATATGAAAATGAGCCTATCTGGTATAATTAAATCAACCATCGAACAATAGTTGAATATGTTTAGTCACCATGCAAATGTAATTGTTGTTTTGATCAAGAAAATTGGTCAATCAACCAGATTTTAATCTCACAACAAAATGAGTGGTATGTTAACTATAATTTTTGTCCTTTCACTTATATTTTATGTAGATGACCATAATATTTGGTTCACCAACAAAGTGCATAGTAGATATAGGTATAATGACTATTTTTCAGGTTTTTGTACCACTGAATTAATACAGATTTCGAATAAACATCAAGTTTATTCTATACATGGTGGTCAACTTCACAAAATATCTACAGTATAATTCTCTTTATTTGTAATTTCTCGTCTCCGTTATTTGAATGTAGGTACTCTTTCATTTATCCTTTATGACACTCAATGGACATTATTCAATTGCTACCACAGTTTATCATCCTTCTTCCTGCAAAAAATGTATAGAATCGAAAAATAAATTTAATATTGAATTGGTTGAATTCATGAATAATACTCGCCATCGCATAATTACGATCATCTGATGAATTTTCCTCATCATGATTATTAATTGGAAAGACCACATCATCAGTGGTACTCCTTGACGAGAGATTTCAAAATTGTCTCAATCTTCTTGTATGGTTCTGGTACTTGTCATATACAACCTCTCTGGGGATATATTCACTTCTTCTGTACTGAATGATACAAAAATTGAAGAGAGTCCTGAGAAAAAGATACGAACTTTAGCAATAATTTCATACAGTGTGTTAAATCATTACCAAGTTTAGTACTAAATCACAACTCGATATTGAATACAGTAATTACATAATCGACTTACCAAAATCACTTCATTGCAGAATAGGTATAACGGGAAACGATAATATCAAAATAATATAAAGCCACAAAACAAAGAACAAAATAAGACGCCAGCAACAAAAACTCATGTGTACGCTGTCGCCCTGCAAATACCAATGGGAAGATCACAAGCTCATTGTCAACCCTTCAAGGAAGGTTGGTTGATTTTAACCTACTGTTCGTTTGTCTACCAACTACATGACAGTGAACGAGCTGTAATAATATATTAGTTATACAACATAATATAGTTTAAATACCATCTTTTATTAGAGTGATTTGAAATAGTTGCAGGTTGATTTTACCTTCCTCTTCGTTTGATTACCAACTTTAACAGTGAGCAACCTGTAATGATATTTTAGTTACAACATAATATAGTTGAAATACTATATTTAGTTTGATTTGAAATACTCATATGTTGATTATAACTTCCTATTCGTTTGTCTACCAAATATATAACAGTGAGCGAGCCATTACGATATTTCAGTTACAGCTATAATGTTGTTGAAATACTATTTCTAGTTCGATTTGACTAATTTTTACAAATTATTGGTTGTACCACAAAAATATCATCAAACCAACTAAAATTTTTGGTTGACGTTCAATTTGTTCATGTACAATTTTTCCTCAATTGTTTTGACGATCACCCAATTATTGAATACAATTATTATGATGTTGTAGATTAAACACATTTTTTTGTCAATTCAACCTATATACTATCTCTTTGAGTGTATTTCAGTCATTCAAATTATTCAAATAAATATATGGAGATAACGAAAATGTAATAATGAGAATTACAGTAAAAAATAAGCAGATGAGAGTTTTCTTAGACACTGGTTCAGATATTGACATCATTTGTGAGAACATAGCAAGAAAGCTCGAATTAATCATGTACGAGAAATTTGTGCTCATAAGGAGTCCTGCTGGAACAACTAAATGCACGCAAATGTCAAAGATACAACTGAATCTCAACGGAAAGATTCATATAATTCGGCCAATAGTTGTCAACGGTCTGAGTTTTGATATGATTATTTTCAAAAGTATAGTCATTCAGTTCCGAACTAACCAGACTAAATTAACAGAATCATATATATTGCAGATAAATTCCCAAAATTATTATATCATTCTGATACCGAATCCTCAGAGTTTGTAGTACAACATATAGATTTTTTCCTGAGAAGAACAAATGGATAAACGAAAAAATAGAGGATATGTTGGAGAAAGGAGTGATGAGTAAATCATCATCTGTTTATGCTTCACCTTGTATAATAAAAACAGAACCAGATGGCTCTTTCCGTCTGTGTACAGACTATCGAAAAATCAATGAAGAATCTGAACTGGATCCGTTTCCTTTTCATATTATAAATGATATTAATGAGAAGTTTGGAGGTGGCAAAAATTTCACGAAAACCGATTTGAAAGATGGTTTTTGGAATATAGGCATCTCTCAAAAAACGAGAAAATTCACTGCATTTGTAACAGAAACAACATTTGTTTATAGCAGGGAACATGGTGAATACATGAATATATTCAAACTAAAAATGATCTTAATTGACTCAGCTGTTAGGTACCCAATAGAAAAACTATATAGTAGTTTTACGAGAAAACTATAAAAATGAGATAAGATGTCAATATCACAGGAGTAGATGTTTCTTGAATTCCTTTTCAAATTTTTCAATCCTATTAATTAAATTCAAGTTATTTGGTAGTGAATTGAATTGTATCATTCCATTGTGATAGATCTGAATCAATTTTCTTGACAGAAAAATGATCTGCTTGTCTAGTTGTATGAGAGGCGGTGCGGTTCATCGAATTATAACAGGAGGGTATTTTTCATATAAAAATAAACATTCATTCATATTTCATAATGAAATTCGAAAGTTTTCCGTTAATTCCTGTTTAATACGTGATAAAAAAACATTGATATTGCCCTAATGACGCCACTAATATTGATATCACCTGACTATTTCACCCGAATATTAATTGAAGGAAATATTCCTTTCTTTCAACTTGAGAACGAAGCATCTCAGACCAATGTTTATGGAAACTCTCTTTTTCAAAATAGGGTATTCTATCGATTGCCGATATTATGCTACTAAAAAGTGGACCAATTTGTATATCTATTTTCCAGCTCCCGGATTTCCTAGATGTAAGAGGACTGATCCAAAAATGGAAGAATGCCTTATCGCTGCCACCAATCAAGTACGACCATACATAATAGGGGGTATCCCAGATTTTCTTCCCCCTTTAGAAAATTTCACTGTTCCTAAAATAACATTGGAAGATGGTAAAGGAGCTCTGAATTTCAAAGCTGAGTTGATAAATGTAACATTGATGGGTTTGGAGAAATATAAATTCACGAGATACAAGTAAGTTCGTATTCCACTCAATCGTGTCAGTTCTATTTATTAGATCAGAATGATTCCTATAAATGTTCTCTTCTCCGATTATATACGTTACAGATAAGTAAGTACAACGGAATTGCACTTTATAATCGAATTTACGCCACATAACTATTATTTGTATTGATCTCTCCATGTAAACAGGGTAACTATTTTATACAATTGTTCATTATGTAAGAAATAATATTCCTCAATAATTATAATTGTTTAAAAATTATTATTATAATAATTTTTTGAAGTAAAACGTTTAATAATGTCTATGAATTATGAGAAAAATCGATATTTTTCATTCTACAACTTTACCGCCCCGTAAGCAATTTGAGCTGCTTAAAATTAGCTGATTTTCACCTCGGTAATATGTGCTGAGATTTTGTACAGGCCTTTTAGGGACATCCTGTATATATTTTAAACTGAAAGAGAATGCAAATTCTCAACTTCAGAAGATTTCATTTTCAAATTCTTGTTGTGCGTGTGTTCAATAGATATGGTAATCAAAGTTCGTCGTGGCATATAGTCAGGAAAGTAGTTGTTTTCTATTGAAAATACCATCAGAAAACAATTCATATTTTCATCAGATAGAGAATGCGAATTCTCGATCTCAATGTACCTATACCTTTATATCATTATGTATCCACTTTTTTATGCTTATATTATATCGGAGAATATTATTTCTATTCAATAAGGAAAAAATATTGTTTATCTCACTATTTTCACTGAGTAGTTAATAATCGATTATTCTCAACTATAAGTAGTATACTTGATGATATGTCAGCAGGTAGCTGGCGATTTTCCGTCATGTTCAAACAGGAGCATGTTTTTTGGAAAATTATTTCGGGAAAACTGGTGGCAATGAAAAATGTAGAAAAATTCTGTGCCTTCTTTCTTCTTGATGAACGTCATGGTATTATATCTAGAAATCAGTGTTTTCGGCTACTTTATTGTGTCTCAACTTCGTCAGATTATAATTATTAACCATTCTTATTTAGATTTTACTAAATTTCCTTTCTTGTTTCAGTTTTGATGTTGCCAATAAGTCATTCTTAATAAAAGTAGAATTCTCTCATCTTTATCTGAAAGGGAAATATGTCATGACTGGTCAATTGCTACTTGCACCTATCAAAGGCGATGGGGATTTTCATGGTAACATAAGTGAGTATACTTACATCACTTACATCAATCAATGCAGTGAAAGACAATCAATTGGTTTTGAAAACATATAAATGTGAATCTATTCCAATGAAGATGCTGAATATGATGAAAAATATGCTTATTTTCGCTTTTGTTTGTACTTTCGCTTTTGTTCTCGATTTCGCTCTTGGTCTAGGTCTCGCTCTCATACACATATATTTGCATTCAGTTTGAAATTTTGACGTGTGAAGTTGGTGTAATGTGTTCCAATTTTGAATGTCATTTCAGCACTCGGGCATTATCTGAGCACTGAACAATCCAGACTCGGAAAATTCTGCGCTCAGATATTTCAACACTGGACACAAGGCCGGTAGGTCCCTTTATACTTCAGTAAACGATAACATTCAGTACACCAGATTTATAGTTACTTTGTAAATATACGTATTCTCGTTCTTCAGATATTTCAGTGAAGGATATCATTCGACGATTTGGCTTTACGTCAGGGAACTTGATTTTTTATTTCACAACGCATCATCTGTTGCTGTTTATTCTTCCCTCCGCTATTTAGTTCTGTCGCTATTTAGATCTGTCGCTATTTAGATCTGTCGCTATTTAGATCTGTCGCTACATTTAGTTCTGCCGCTATACGTCCTGTTTCTGATTCGTCCTGTCGCTGAAATATAGGGCGCGGTGATGTCCAGCGCTGAAAATGTCTAGCGCTGAATTGTTCGACGCTCAAATAGTTCAGCGTGCAATTATTATCAAATGGCGCTCGATAATAAAGCGATCGACAATTAATATACATTCAGTGTGACATACATTTGAATAGAAGATTATAAAATATTCTAGAACCTTGCTGGGAGGTCCTTCAACATTCGTGAGCATTTTGGAAAATTCCGGAATCTTCTGGAAGATTCTAGAACATTCTGCTATATTCTGCAGAATCCTGGAAAATTTTACAAAATTTTTCAACATTCTAGGATATTTTAGAACATACTGGAATCTTCTGAAAGATTCTATAACATTTTGGCACAAGCATTCAAGAACATTATACAGTATGCTTAAACATTTTGGAATATTCTAAGATTATCTGGAATGTTCTATAATATCATGAACAATTTCGAATATTCTCAAATTTTATGAAAGATTCAATAACATTCTGGAACATTCTACAGTATTCTGGAACATTCTCGAACATTCTGGAATATGTGGACACATTTGGAAAGACTACAATGTTGCAACGGTGCATTGTGTGAATAAAAATTCGCCCAATAATATGGCAACACTTGTCAACTCGTGAAACTTTTCTAAATAGTCGAAAGTACTCTTCAATGACAAATTTCCCAAGTCACCATTCAATCCGAGAGCCAAACACGTCGATTGTCTTATCCAGTTGCACAATCTAGTTCGTATAGGTTTATTCAGTGTTGTTGAAATTTTTATAAATCACATTATTATGAATGAAATTTCATTTATTCTCCCAAGATAAGGTTATGTAACATAAAGAAAAAATATGACATCTATACACGATAAAATATGACATATATACACGGAAAAATATGAGTTGTTTTCGAAGATATTATCAAAATAGGGTGCTGCAATTAAAAAAAATGATAATGACGTCATAACCTGAACAGTGATGACGTCATCAAGAATATGAGTAGAAAATGCACTTTTCCCCACTAACCATTTCAAGCTTTTAACGAATTTGTTCCAACCTTCACGTGCACACACTGTATATACGGTGTAGAAACCTATGATAGAATATACTCCGTTTCTCCAAATCAATAATGTATTTAGAAAAATCCTCGACTGGTCGATTTTTATTTCCAAAAATTTATTTTTTCACATAAAAATGTTCAACCACCTGTCAACCTCCTAGCCTTCAAAATTCTCAAATTGTACAAGGGGTCAAGTTATACCTTATTGTTAGAGAGATATTTCAAATCTCTATACAAACTGTTTATACGTTGTATAATTCGATTGAGCAATATCGAAAGATTCAAAACTCATTGGAATTTTTGTCTGAATAATTGTTAATGCTTCGTACTGTTTCATTTCATCATTTGTGCGGTCCTGAATTCACCTTTATTCAAAATAAAATTTTCATACTGAATGTCCGTCTACGCCTATGTACAATGTACATGGTACTGTTTCATTGTACAAAAGCGTAGGCCGACATTCAGTATGGGAAACTGATTTCAAATGAAGATGAATGAACTGTATGTACAAGTCATACAATGGATCAGTACCCACCATTACCAATAATTTAGACAAAAATTTCAATAAATTTTGAATCTCTCGACTGCTCTCTTGCGGATATGGCTTAACCGAATTAAAAAAAAATGAGGTTGGGAATCCTTATACGAAGTTTGTCGGTCTTATTCTGACTCACCCTGTATACATAAATATATGTATTTCAAACCTTGAGAAGGCTCAAGGTATACTATTGAGTGGCACCAATAAAATTATCTACAGGTTATATCATTTACATAGAAGTTTTCCAATTTGCAGTTAGATTAAAATCTTGGAAACTGGTATGCTGTTACAATCGATCATTCCCAATCTACCTGAAATATTTAAGTTTTCCAGCAATACAAGGTGTGCCAAAATTCAGCACCAACTTTCTCATTTCGAATAGAAAACTACATTTTTTCACACGGTTCGATTGGCTTGCTTCTAATTCAAAGTTTAGACAAGCTAATAATGTTAAATTATCGTATGTATGATTTTGAGAAACAATAAATTATGTTGCTTGGAAACCACACGAGCGCATTAGCGCAGAGATATCATCAAACAAATATTCCAATTCAAAATTATCAACCTGGTTGCAAAACAATCGAAATTATTGTTTCAAGACATGACATAATAATAATAATAATAATAATAATAACAATAATAGGTCTTTATTAGGCGAAAGTTTAGTATAAAACTATTCTTACACTTCAACCTAACAATTATAGAAATGAACATAGATATCATTGTAGCATTCAACGTAGGTAATCAGAACTATACTCTGTATTGAAAACAAAGAAAAAAAATCAGAAGAAAAAAAATTCTTGACGAATGTGAGAGATAGATATATTATGAGATATGGCTTTCTATTATGAGTTCAGGATAATCTTTTTGGCTAGAGGAGGGATATAGATTCATTGAGCTTTTCAAATTTTTACAATGAGTTGACGGTCAATTGTTTGGCTAGAAGGAGTTTTTTTAAATTTGCCTTAAATGAATTTACTGACATTCTCTTCAGATGGTCATCTAAATTATTATAAATATGAGGAGCTTCGTAGGCAAAGGAAGATTCGAATTTCTTTGTATGGTGTGCTGGAATATGAATATAATACTGGGCACGAATATTAACATTATGGAGTTGACCGCGAAATCTCAATTTCTCATAAAGATAAGATGGTGTCTTCGTTAAAATGATTTTATGACAGAACGCAGCGAAATGTAAATAACGACGAGATTTCATTTTCAGCCAGCCTAATTTTGCAATATTCTCAGACACGTGATCATATTTTCGTAAGTTTAGTATATATCTACAACAGTTGTTTTGAACTTTCTGAATCCTGCAAGCGTCGAAATTATTAATATGGTTACCCGTATACCACGTCACAATAGTTGAACTGAGATAATATTAATTGATCGCAGAGCATTTTCTTCAAACTATTATGCAAGTTATATCGATTGGAATATAATAGTTTCAAAGCGCTATAAGATTTCTGCAAACATTTGCTGATATGATCCGAAAATTTCATACCTGGATCCATGTACAGACCAAGATTTTTTGCAACCTTTGTGGACGCTAGAGTGACGTTACCAACTGTAATGGTCAATCTCTTTTCTGCTTCAGACGACGGCGTTTTATTGCCAAATATCATGAGCAGAGATTTCTTGGGATTTATATGCAAATTGTGATCGAAGGAACGTGATACGATATTTTCTAGATCACTAATCATCAGACGGCTCACATTATCCACATCATTCAGTGAAAAATTGTAGTATATTTGACTGTCATCTGCGTAATAATGACCCTTGCAATATTTGAGTTCATCATAAAGCTGGGCAGTGTAAATCAAAAATAGCAATGGGCCCAGTATAGATCCTTGCGGGACACCTTTGTGAATCCGCAACGGTGAAGAAATTTGTCCATTAATTATCACATGTTGGGAACGATTAGTCAAAAAATTTTCAAAAAAGGAAAGGACACCTTGCCTGCAACTATAGTATTTTAATTTCGCGTATAACAATTTGTGATCAATCGTATCGAATGCTTTAGAGAAATCTAGCATTACAAGTGCAGTCAGTTTTTTATCATCCTTTCGGATTATGAAGAAAGTGATCATCTATGTGATCATCCAAAAAATTGAGGTTGATTTACATCTACAGATTGGAGCATGTAAAGAACTCTGGATATCACCCTGTATTAATAAGGAAATTAGTCTCAAGTGGTTTCAAGTCTCTATGGGTCACATGACCGTGAAAATGTTCTTGTGAGGATTTTTAGAAATAAAACACTATTTTTGTGACATTTTACAAAAAAATCGTATTAACAAAATCGATAAAAATTAAAAACCAATTCGAGATATGACATCAAACTTCATGATACAATAATATGTGAAAAACAGAAGAACAGATTTTAGCCGTGTGCCATTCATCGCCCTGTGAAATATTTATTCACCCATTTTTTCATTTCAAATAAGTTTCTGAAATATAAAAACCAAATCGAAATCGGTAAATAGTTTTGGAATTCATAATCTTACGAATCTGCGCGAAAATTTCAGGTGTCTCACTTCAATTATTGTGGTGCACTGTAGATAATCCTTGTTTTTCACTACAATTTCTGTTTTAATTCAATGATTGCCTCTTTCGTTATTATTGTTTATATTTCAGGTAAATGCAGTTGCTCGATTTACCACACTGTTGATATAGTAAACAAGCATGGAATTGATTACTTGAAACCTCAACTAACCACCCCCAAAATTGATATCGGTAAAATAACGGATTACGGTCTGGTGGGTCTATTCAAGGAGAACAAAGATTTGGGTAAATATGTCTTCCATGAAAATGTATTAGATACTGATATTCTTCATGTCTTTGTTCCAGAAAGAGCTACACAGAATATAATAAAGAATAATCTCAACGTTATAGTTGAAGAAATGTTACCAGCTATTGAAAAAGTACTTGGTGCAATTTTCGATAAAGTTATATTCAAATCTGTAACGAAAATACCTTATAATAAGTTGTACCCTGAATAACAGTATTTAATAAAAAGTCTTTGGAAAAACTCATGGTTTCGCTTATTTTATTTCCTATTTTTTAATATTTCATTTGAGTCCTGATGTCCAATACCTAACGTTGGACATCAAGGCGTTGGTTTCACAAAATATGTACTGAATGTATGGCAGCAAAACCCGCGGTCCAACGTATTGGATGAACGAACGCATACGTTGCACGCGAATTCGATACTTGATCATGTTGTATTGTGGTTTCAAATGATATGTAATAAACGCTATATAATAACAATGGTGGCATTTTGTCGTACGACAATTAACGGTAGACACTAATTTTGTGCAACTTTGTGCATTAAATTCGTTCCAACCTACTAAGAAAATAGTTTTAGAATAGGTAGAGAATATTTTGAGTTCATAAAATAGGATATCGAACTCACTTCATAGGTTATTTTACCGTGTCCATTTAGTTGGACATCAGGACGTACTCCAACCTTCTTCTCTAGATGGAGCAAGTTTCAAAGGAAAATCGAGAGATGGCAGCACAAGTATCAAAAAGAAGGGTCGGAGTGAGATAATCTGTTATAAATGCAAACAATCAGGCCATTTCCGAAATAAGTGCCCAAATTTGGAACAGATTAACAAGGACAAGGAAAAAGAAAGCAAGACAAATGCTTTCAGTGTGGTTTTCCTTAGTGGTAACTTCAATGATGGTTACCTATTAGAAATTTTAGGACAAAAAAATGTTCGCTTTGCAGAACACGATGATGAAATTGAGCAACTATCTGATGCCCACTCCCCCTGGACTGCTTTGAATCTATTTTTCATTCATTTGATCAATTAAAATAATTAGGGGACAAATCTGCTGACATTGAAATTTCAAGATTCAAAAATGTCCTTCGACAATTCTTTGTTTGAAAAAGTTAACACTCAAATTGCTGGTGAAAATCTGTTAGGGTAATTGTATCCAGAAGCAACATCTTCCTGTCTGTTCCAATAAGAATCCCTCCCTACATCTCCAACAAAATAGAATTATCTTCCAACTGTGGTGATACCGACTCAAAAAATGATGATTGATGTGAAAATGCAGGTTGCAAATTGAAATGATTATATTGCGAATAATAATTACTAGTGATTTCATCCTAATGTCCAATTTATTGGACATATTTTTCTGTAGTTTAGGACTAACGAGGATATATCTTAGAAAATTCCGGGCGCTCTTTCCGCTCAGGGCTGCTGATACATATATAGGCTATATTCCGAATTTAACTGGTCAGTACTGTCAGTGAATCCACTGACTCAGCTGAAAATGTGTATTCCGAAATATAAAATCAAAAATACAGTGCTGTAATTCGGAACATGTTTTCATGGTTTTCATCAGTAATCAGCAGCAGTTGATCAGCTGGTGAGCTTTGTCAGCTGGCAGGTTGAGATCTATGCAGGTTGTCACTTATGTAAAGATTCTCGTTCATCTGAACTAGATATTATTCTCAGCGTCAAATATTCCAACAACAAGCATTTTCTTATATTAAAAATGATATAATTGATTTAATTATTGATAAATCTACGGAAATAAATGTGACTTTTCTTCCCCCTCTGAAATATTGACAGTTTACTGAAGCCACACTATACCTTTTGATAGTCAGAGGCTACAAGAATCGATTACTCTTCCACGTTAAATATTGAATATTAAATATCTAGTCCAGATAAACGAGAAACTACAGACTGACAAATTTCACCAGCTATCAACTGCTGCTGATGACTACTGATGAGAACCATGAAAACGTGTCCCGAATTACAGAACTGTATTTTTGATTTTATATTTCGGAACACAGATTTTCAGCAGATTCAGTGGATCTACTGACAGTACTGACCAGTTGAATTCGGAATATAGCCTCTATGAGACAATAAATAAAAATCATTTTCAACAGTTTATCATATAATGTTATGTAGGTATACTTGCAAATTCGAAATTCACAAAAACACATGTTGTTACTACTTATACGTTATATAGTTCTTACATTTCATCACAAACAACCATCAACATGTAAATTTTCTTACCGAATACCACTTTAGCTTCAATTAATATCCGAGAATTTTTTCTCCAACACGAATATTTAGAAAATTCACCCGAGTCGAAGACTCGAGAAAATTTCCGGAAATAATTGAGGCTCTCGTGATATTATAAGTGAAAATATCCGAATCCTTTTACTAAGGCGGAAGTTGTAACATTGCAATGACAGTATCAAAATGCATACTTGTCTAATGACTATCGAATGACACCTATCAACACAAAGCTTTCAAATTGAGTGCAGTTAGATATATGCCGTGTATTTCCACTCAAATATTGACTTCAACTGCTTGGACCATATTATGCAAGAACGGATATACAGGGTGGGGCATTGGTGCGTCGAGCTCGATTGCTCGAGTTCTATGAGCTAGGAACTTGATTCAAAAACGAATGTCAATGAGACAACAAGGTCCGTAGCTAGAAATTATTGCCGCATATTCAGGGGGCATCGGAAAAAATCTAGAGGGGTAGGATCACTTTTTTTAAATGGAATGTCCTATATATTGACACATTTTTGAAGCACTCCTGTGACCTCCTTCTACTCCTATAATATGGTTGACTCTTTCTGAATCATTTGAAAGTTAATGATTTTTTTGTCGAAATAATGTCATCTGCAGATCCATACCGAAAAAATCACTGGAATCACAATTATGAAGTTCAAGAGATAATAATCAGAATATCATTTGATGGAAGGATGCGTGATATTTAAGTAGAATTTTCATGTCCTCACATTAAACAGGGTGTCTAAAAATGTTTTTTCTATTCGGAACTTTTGAAAGTGATTGTTCTCGAGTTTTTCAAACGAAACACCCCACATATTTTCATGCCTTTTTGTGTAAAATCGATACTCGTAACCATTTTGAATTGCGACATCCTGCATAAAAGGTGAGTAAATGATAATCATTGATCCTACAATATTTATTTCCAGTTGGAAATCCACTCTTTCATTTTTATTTCAGAAGAGCAGATGTGGATTCACTTGCTTACACTGGGTGTTCCATTCATGTTGCACGAAACTTCGAGGTCATATGTTTTGGGACAAAATAAGGAAATGGTTCACTAAATCATATGTCCGAATTCGAGTCGTTTCCGAGATAAGTACAGGACGTTCGAGTTTCTTAAAAAAAAAAAAGATTTTTCATCGATTTCGGAAACAGATTTCAACCGATTTTGAACAAATTCACATTTATTGTTAATATCTCAATTAGTGTATACCTATCACAGCTGATGAAGTTTTACCAGGGGCTCGCCTACGGGGCCCCCTAGTTATTTACACAAAAAATAGCACCTATATCTGTGTCTCTGAACCAGATATGGTAGAAAAACTGCAATGCTGTAAATCTAGTTTACTTACTACCAATATGTAATGTGAAACATTTCGGCACTGATTTCAGTATCGTAATGAGATACTTCACCGCACTAGTACGGTAAAGTGAAAAAAATATAATTTGAAATTTTATTTTTACTCAAAAAAAAAAGAATATAGCAGGTACTAAAATTTCGATTGCTGCATTCGCCGCAATTTCTTATCGGAATCTAAACTTTCCTGATCCGAATTTATGCCGATTTTTTTTTGTTTCCAATTGAAATTAACAGTTCGCCGAATGAGTGACAATCGAGAACACAAAAGATTTACGACAACCAAACGCCCAACCCTTGCAATGCTTGCTAGTTACATATTCCTAATGAATTGTCAGTTCAAGGAATATTGAATATTTTCGATTAAATAATTAGCTTTTTGGTAGTAGGTAAAATATTGGACTATATTCGTATCGTAAATTCATATTACGATAATCGATGGGTTATCAAACTTGGCCTTCCGCCTCCCCAGCGAGCACAAACATCCCTGGAATGTTTTGGGATGTTTTGAAAATGTTGGCATGAAGATGTTATTTTGAGACGTAATATGCACTGACCAAAGAGGCCTTTGAAGGATTTTTTTAGATTTGGAATGGAGCCTTCGGGCTATCTGCCTCCACACTGCGACCTTTTCAGATCTATTGTGCCTGCCCTCAAAATGGATTAGAGTTCTTCGGCTATCTTTGAAGGATATTGAAGTATTGTTTTTGTTCTTCTGTGGCATTTCTTTGTTTGCCTACTGAGAGGTATCCCTGGGATATTTTGGGATGTTTTAGAAATGTAGGGATGTTTTAGAAATGTAGGCATGCTTTTTTGAGGCGTAATATGCACTTCCCAAAGAGGTCTTAGAAGGATATTGAAAGTATTGTTTTTGTTCTTTTGTGCCCTTTCTTTGTTTGCCCCACCACAACGTCTCATGCTTACGTCACAATACGATGAATTCTAATTTGTTTTCGATTTTGTTCTTCTTGTTCGCAATTGGCATTCGCGTTTGCAGCGTGTCACGCTTACATCACGCTGCTAACGAACAGAAAGGAATTTGATGAAGTTTATTGTGTTAGAAGACTTATTTAGTTTGTAATAATGACCATCAGATGCAAGATGTGTTGTTCGGTGCCTCAGTGTAATCAATATATAAAAGTACGAATTCATCAATACATAGCTTCTCCGCACTTGCAAAATTATGCATTGTGGAGAACATTTCAAAAATTGGGAAACCTATTTCCAATTATATGTCTGTGTGTAGTAAGCACTACTCAGGAACCGATTAAGAAGGTAATTTCATATCAAGAAAATATTTTTATGTTCAATCTATTTTTAATGCATTTTTTCATTCAAGGGAAATGGAATCCTAATGCAAAAGTTCATTTTCACAAAAGGCTTCAGAAAAGTTCCTCGAAAATGGTTTTTTACAGCGATTAAATGTGCGCAAGACGCGTTGAAAATGTTCTGTTGTGTCCATGAAAAGGCTTTAAAAAGAACTAGGGAGAAGGTAGTTTTTTGACATATCAAGGACATCTCGATAATTGCCGCCTGCGGCGGACATTGGCTGTTCTACACCCTTGTGGTACACCCTGACGGCATTTCACTCTATGTGGAAATACGAGGCAAACGCAGACTGAACGTTATTCTAGCCGCGCTCTGGCGGGGAACAATTAATGTAAACGCCTATATGAGCAACCAAACTCTGTATTTCCGTAGTGAATACTAGAGTCCCTGTGAACAGGAAGCAATGCTCTATTGTCTTCGTTCAGAAGAATGCAAGCGGATTCCTTGATTTTAGTTTTTTGGTTGTTATCTTCCTTTCCTGAGAACACAAGTACCTACAATATCAAGAAAAGACATATCGATAAATCGGAGCTAACTGAACATATCCTCACTGAAGATTGACAATAACATATGGCAGAGTGGAATAATATCAAAATCATAGGAAAGTTAGTGTTTTGTTTGAACACTGAGATCTTATTTTGTCGAATAGACGCGTGACTTTTCAACTTCCTCGGGAGGACTCGGAGGTAAAACAAGCCTGGGGAACGGTTGTTCCCCCCGCCCTATTGGTGAAAACTGAGAGACATCATTTATAATACAGATTCATCAATACCATTGATAGATGTATTTTCGGAGGCACAACACATATACAGTCTATATATAGTGATAACTAAACTTTATCAGAACAAAATCAATGATGCAAAAGTGATAAAACTTTACTCAAACTGATTCCATCACTCTGTTTCCTCTTGGAAAACGGTCTTTCTTTGTTCGTTTCAAAATAGAACGTTCCTGTTTCATTAGTGGTCAGATCTCCCAAGTTTACTTTCACATCATCGCATTGGTTCTTTGCCAACAGTTCCCAGCCTGAGCAGCGGGTTGCCAATAGTTCATCTGGGTTGAGAATGGCTTCCACAAAGTATTCACCAGCTCTGCGATGGTCACAAGAAACTGCAAAAAAAAACGTATCATCTGGGAGAACTTATGATCAATAGCAAGGGGTGGATGACGACACGCTACAGCTCAACTATGTACAATTTTATTACTAATGGTTCAGTAGCCCAGTAAGTAGCGTCTTGTTTTTCGGCCGGTGGTTCAATTCATATTCAATCCTCATCACCATAAACATTTGGAATTGTCATTATTTCGATCAATTTTCAGAAAAAAGGTGTAGAAATTCAGGCCAAGTCAGGTTAGCCTGTTCACTTATTTGATTTTCATTTGAATTTTTTAAATCTATATCTTCTATGAAACAGGTGGTGCAATTCAGGTCAAGTTAGGTCACGATGTCTAGAAAAGATCTGTGAATTAGACAGTTTGCCTCATAAAATGTGTTAAAATGTGTTGAAATCTCTTGATAAAATCTCTTGATTTCTTGAATTTCAGTAAACATTTTTTAATAATCAATGATGTATTCAAAATATAGTATTCGATTGTGAGGAACTTGCTTACAATATTCAATATGAAGAGACAGACACACAGACTTCGAAATAGCCAGAATGGTCACCGAACTTCCTCGGCACAGTGTATGTTATCCGAAACGATACTCTTAGTACCTATGTTCCAAATATTCAAATTGCCAGACAGATCTTCCATATTACATCTATCACTACCACCATAAAGAACAGCAATCCTAGCAGCATTTGCAGGAATCAGTTGACTGACTGACAGTTGGCCATGGCTTTGATCTTATCAAACTGTGTTCATCTTGTTATTTGAAAACGTATACCTACCTCAGAGACAGAGTAAAACTATGTATGGATATAGATTAGGAGATTGGAGACTCTAACCTGGTTTCATGATCATGGAAAACTCACCAAGGATCCAAAAACATTTTTGGATATGCAATATAATTAGGTATACTTCAAAATCATTGTGAAATAAGTACCAATATATAGTGATACAACAGAAAGCACTTCAATCAAACTCAAATGTTTACAGGCTGACTCACAAAAACCGCTCCAACGCATAGTACCGCTATCGCGATCAGTACGCGATAGTACGAAAAAGCAAATGAAATTACGCATCAGATTCTATGGAGACTCTCATTATTATTTTTCAAAATTTCAACTGTAAGGTCGCAGCGACTGTTAACTTTTTTTCTATAGACACCTTTTTTCTGTTCGAGATTTTTTTCGGAATACAATAATAATGTATTATTTAAAAAATTAAATATTCAGTTGACAAGAAGAAGATATTCTCAGATAATTAGAGAATTGAGATTAATCATTGAAGTGGCAGTAAATGTCAATGAATGTCAGTGTTTAATTTGTCATATATTTTGACACTGCATATGGTATTAAATTATGCTGTGAAAAATATTAGAATGTTTGAACAAGATTAAAATGAGAACAATTCACACCTATATATACTGATGGCGAATCCTGAAAAGAGCTAATATAAAAGACAGAGATTCATTTAGAGAATAATATATATATATATATATATAGTTGCATACAAGATTACAAATTGACTAGGACCATAACCATACGATTTTCAAGTTGTCACCGCTCAACCGCAAAATATTACTTTTTCGGAGATTTAAAAAAATTTGAACAGGTTCTCAATAGGTATATCTATACAGCAATGTAGTAAATAATATCATTATTACCCCCAGGGAACAAGATTATATCCAGAGGCTTCAGCCGAGGGTTATAAGGTCCCGTGATGATATTCTTCACTACCAAGGTGTATATCAATTTTTTTGTCTCTGGCATTATATTTCAATTATTATGGTTCTTTGAAACTGAAATATGGACTCATATTGTCACGATATGAAAGCATTTCTTCACAATTCTAATTGAAATCTAGTAGCCATTAATGATAGCAAGTGAGTTATTGATAAATACCTACTGAATTCGAGTGCCATTCCTGTTGCGAATCTCGCATCAGAAATGTGAATTCGAGTTCATTATAGCAGAGGTGGCTATGTCGTTATTGACTAGTGGTTCATAAAGTGACGAAAACTACCTTGGTAGCGAAAACACACTTTAGTGTGAGTGAATAATAATGGTAGGTTCTATAGCTAGTGGTGAAAAAAATGCGTTATATTTACAAATTTAACGGTGAATAATGTAGCAGACCACGTTTATTGTTTTGTCAATTTTCATATTATTGTTATATGGATGGCGATGTTTATTTTTTTACATTCACCTTCGTTTTTTATTCATTCAAATTACTATCAGAATAGTTGATGAAACGAGTTTTCAGCAAATACTTTTGATACGATGAGAATTTCGATGGGGTTGTTATAAGAAAAAAAGTTTGTATTTTATTCACTCATCAAATGGCATAAAGATATACAGGGGCTCCAATTTGAAATGAGAAAAATATAGTGCTTTGAAATTTGAAAAGTTTGCCACTAAATTTTGCACACCCTTTGATGATTCGTGTCAATCCAACTCGGTTTGCGATTCTCTTAGGCCTCATCTGATATGTATCTCATCTCTTATAATTTCATTGCGCAGGCACTCTCTCCATTGTTATCAATGTTTTCGACCGACGGTGCAAATTTTTTTTTTGTTATATTGGTTTTCACGTGAATAGCACTGAACCGATTTCAATAAAATTTCAGGAGTATGGAGTATGTAGGTACCCACTAGAAGCACTCAAATGTGCAACAAAATATATGGCATGCCATTTCAAAAAATACATCATTATGACGTCACACTTTTTGGGACACCCTGTACAATCGAAATTATTTTCCTGATATGTGCCTTATGATACAATTGTAGTCTACAAAATATCAAAATCCTGACTCAACTGATAACTGAGCTATAGAAGACGGGAGGTGTGATGCAGGACCCTGTATGTGGGCTGCTACTGGAGTGCAGGCGTATTTGGGCAGAGATCACATAGCCCGCAACGGCAGATAGATGGAAAGTGTTTTTAATTTCAATTTTCTTGCTTGTGAACCGGAAAATTTCCACACATGAAAATGTTTGCATACAACCCTGGACCCAACTGGGTCCACCTCGGAAATCAGTCATCATAAGAAGCCTAGCTTTGGAAGATGGGACTCGTTTCAGCCAATACTTTAATCAAAGACACACCAAACACATACCTTGGCTCACACCATCTGAATCCACGCTGCGTGGATAATTGTTTTGACATCTCTTCTATTTTTAATATGTGTGTTTGATTTTGTAATTATCTGTATTTTTTAATAATATGATGAATAAATGATGTTGGAAGTGTAACCGAAGGGCCAGTGTTCGAATCCCGTGGCGGTCGTCTTTTTTTTTCTATTTGAAAAATGTATCGGCAGACATGTACTGGCCCTGATGACGGTCAGAGTCTTCTCGACTATTTTTTTAACTCGGCTACGCCTTGTTAAAAAAATCAGATCTCGATCACCAAAGTATAGCCTTTCGCGATCTAGATACAAGAATAACTATTTTCTACAAACGTCAAAAAATGACAAGGTTCGTGCATTGATAACAAATTGCGAAGTGATACTTTTTTTCAGTTTCCTACATTACATTGTAATCCATTAGTGCCTTATAGCAATTCACATGAGTCAGTTGTGTTGCTGGAAAAAATGATCTAGTAACTTATTCATTGAAATGTTCAAATTTATGTTCATTTTCCCTCAGACACAATTGAAACACTTTCTCAACACGTCTACAGAAAGAGGCACAACAATCTTGAAGAACTTCGTGGAACAACAGTGGCAGTTTTACAGGAATTACAAAGACATTTATCAATGATTTAGAATGCATTGATAGGTACGTATTGAGAAAGTGTGTGAGGAAAAGTTATTAAGTAATTCTGTGATTTTATTTCAAAAAATTGCGAATTTAGTGGTTGTTTAGTGATATACGTAAACGCGAAGTCGAATGGAAGATAAAAGGGCTTGCAGTTCTTTTCTTGGAGACGGTATTATTGACTCATTTATCGGAATTATAGCACAACAAAATCCATTAACAGTGAATATATATGTAATATGTATCCGGGAAAGAAGTACTCACTTTTTCCCACAGGAAAAAAGTAATTTATGAAAAATGACATTTTATAACCTGCCAACAGAGATGAAATGCCAAACTTTTTGCCCGTCACAGAAAAAAAGGAATATTCCTCCAATTGGAACTTTTTTCATGAAAAATACATAGCCCACTATTCAAATTCAATGTTTATAGTGATTTTGGTGCATTTTTGAAAATTTTATATTTATCGATTATATTTAATTTTGATGAAAATAGACATTTTATGAGCTTATAAAATACAGGGTGTTCCATTTTTTGAAAAACCATAAGTTGGAGTCATATCTCCAAAACCATACACCGAAAAACAAATTTGAGTGCGCCACTGGATTCTGCGTGAGGATGAGATGATGTTTGAATTTGACGATTTCGCTGATGAACTTCGTAGATATAGAGGGGGTCCAAAAACTTATACACGGAAACATTTATGTAAAATCTGATTAGGTTCTCTTGAGTTTCACAAAAAAGTGGCACAGACAAACCCCAAGATAACATGAGATATCACTCAAAAGTATCGAAAACGGGACACACTATACATATAAATACATATCATATATTTTAACAGAAAATTACTATATGGGAACGATGTTGGTACTTACTCGGATCCACAAGACTCCTCAAATCCAACAAATCGATCCTCTTACATCCAGGTTGCGATTTTCCACCATTTGGAAAGAAATCGATAGTACCACAAGCGCGTAGAAAACCGAAAGTCCCGCCATCAGAATGGATAACCTCTACAACCTCTGCATCATTTTTGTTCAATCTTTTATCCTCAGGTCTTGTGTCGAACAATGGTCCTGCGGGGTCTAAGGCAATTATCCTTGGAAGTTTTCTCCCAGTTACCTTTATTATGTCTTTTCCTACGAATCCTATGATCTGTCCTCCTAGTGAGTGACCGATGAGAAGGACATCGTCCAAACTAACGCTGTAGTTTTTGTTGAGATCGAGTATTACATTCACAAGTATCTTGGCTAGAAGTAAATAAAAATAGATGGTCAATAATATCTGAATAACATAATCATTTTCCTATATTGCCTATAGAAAATCAATAAAAACAAGAAAACGGACAATTAAAATGAGACTTTTTCTTTAATAAACATTCGCTGCTCCAGAATAATAATGACGCAAATGCAAGAAAGTAAAATGTACAGGAGAAGGAAAAACGAATTCAAAATATCGATTTATCGATTTCCAAATAGGCGATTTCATCTATGAGTTTGACCTTCGATATATTGTGAGTATACCCTGATACTTCAATGTAGTATGTTCAAAGAGATAATATTTTGAAGTTTGATATGGATATTTGAAGTTATGTCTTTATTCATGCTGAAAGAAAAAACATTTTAGTCAATTGTGTCAACACTTTCAATAATTTCCTTGGTTTTAAAAATGGAAACAGATGAAGGATCTCATTGATTTCAACTCCAGATGATATTTTCTGTTTACTCATGAACAATGGTATAAACTAGAATCCTCTAAAATTCATTGGACAAAGATGTAGAGAGTTTTTCGAATCATGTACTCAAAGGGAAATAATTTCAATAAGATGAATTGCACTTATGTAGGCTATAATTGTATTTATAACTGAAACTTTGTCTAAATTTCCGAACATCAATAAACAACCCTCGGACGATTACCCAACTGTAAGAAAAAATAGGAACTGAAAATAGTATATTATTCAACGAGCGCATAATAATGCTGGCTATTACCCACGAAGATGAAAGTTGCAGTACGAGCCGAAGGCGAGTGCTGTAATCATCTGAGTGGGTAATAGTCATTATGTGCGAGTAGAATACTATACTTTATCTACAACTATTCAAATATCAAAGCAACTCTGAGTGCAGAAATATATGTATATATCTTTGGAAATATTGAAGGTTATTTTATTGCGAAATCACCAAATCTGATTTAATACTCATTTATTTAATCGAAAACTTATTGACAGAAATTTCAATCAACGAACAGCTTATTACTAATTTCATTAATTTTGATTGTGAAAATATGATTAACAATGTTGGATCTAACTTTTATTAACAGGAAAAAAGTCGTGCAATCACATATTAGTCAGGTATTATATGCCATTCCACTTTTCAGTTGTAAAATGAATCATATACTATTGCAGATTATTCATTAACTTGCTTCCGCTGTAGCGTTCCTCCACCGAGATTGTCTCTATACTCTAGTTATCAACAATGAAGTTCCATGGTTCATAAGTGTGAGCCATAGTGGAAGGAGAAGATGGTGTGCCTACGCGCATATTATGTGACGTCATCTGGGATACCAATATCAGCTGCAAGTCACAGACAGATACCGTTGCCATGGGCGTGCGCAATGAATTCAATCATGTCCATTGAAATTTCTATAAGTTTCTCGATCTGTTTAGAAATAATTCAATTTATATAAACAGGTACCTATATTCCTTCGATTTTACTATTTCATTGATTCTGGAAATTGTGATCTTGAGGTAATTCGCAATCGCAAAAAGCAAATACATACGAATTATCATGCATTGCCAATCCCATCTGAATGATCCACTACTGTGTCGATTCTGACAGATTCAAATTCAGCAGTTAATGAGCCAATCTACAACTACTGTCAAGTATCCATTCCTATTTTATGGTTATGGTTACTCATGATGGTAGTCACTGTTGAGAATGAAAAACAGTGAATTCTCATTTTCACGTGTATGTGTAGAATTGAGGTGATTAAAACTATGATAACCATGTAGTCTTTTGAATTTGCGTGTATTTCACAAACGTTTTGGTAAAACTAGTAGAACGAATACCTACCTAGTTGAATTTGACAAGACGATGGGATGTCAGATTATTACGCCATCCTACTGTCATTATCACTCTTATTACTCGATTCATCACAATAATGTATGTCATTAAATGTTGAAAATCGAGTTAGCAATGTATGAATGACTCCATAGTTGTAGATAAATAATATTATCCAACTGTTTGATCAGAAGAACCTTGAGTTCGAAATTTCAAATGGAATAAGGAGCTGAACATTTGTAATTCGAAAATGATATTTGTTTCAACCAAAGATTCACAACGCTTTGATATTAGAGATTCAAGTTTGAGGGTGGGTGTATAATCTCAGAACGTCTTCTTCTTTCGACGGCTGATGTGAACTTACATACTAGCTTTCCATTTCACAAATTCTCACGCATAATTTTCAGTTGCAACAGTAGAAACGGAAAATGTTTTATCTGCATGTCTAATTCACAGCTGCAATTGTGAATTAGGAGTCATTAAAAACAAATAAGAGATCAATAAATTATGCAAATATTGTGAAAACCAGTTGTTTTAGGATACCACTTCCAAGCCGTCGTATTTTCTCGACCTGAAATATCTATATCAGTTTGGATTTCATATGTGAAGATTTGAATAGAAAATTCATAATAATCTACAAGAATGTCCAATTACTATGAAAAAGGTACAGTTTGATTCATAATTTGTTTTATTGTTATTTTAATGTCGCATTTATAACAGATGGTAGATTGGAATGTTTCAATTAATTTGTCCTAGAGAACAGTTGGGTCATTCAGAATCTAAATAATCCGATGTAATGTAGACTGAAAGTGCAAACACGATTAAAACCAGATGATATTTCAGAGTAGAAAATGACGCATGGAATAGTTATATCATTATTTTTTCTTATATTGAGAAATAAACAATGACTCAAAATACATTTTTCTACAAACGTCAAAAAATGACAAGGTTCGTGCATTGATAACAAATTGCGGAGTGACACTTTTTTTCAGTTTCCTATGTTACCATGATACCTTATACAAAACAATGCGCGAAGTAAAACAGAGCGCGAAGTACCCACTTCGCGCATTGTTATGTAAAATATATGAGATATTTATGTTTCAACTTTATGGTCCTCAATCGAGCAAACATCCACGAAACATTTATTTCTGAATGTTCAACAATAACTTTGTTTTATCTCTGGGAGCGCACGAAAGGAAATTCCTATTATGTTCGTGGAACATCGTGCGTACCTATAGGAAGAATAGGGGGAGGCCTTTTAAGCCAGTTCAACACTATTTTTTATCAAGCTGAGCATATTTTTAGTATAGAACTTTATTTTTTGACGTTAGTAGAAAAAATGTTGTTTGCAACTCGAGCGCGAAATACTTTGGTCATCTCGACTATTTTTTAACTCGGCTACGCCTCGTTAACAAAATCAGATCTCGATCACCAGAGTAGCATTTCGCGCTCTAGATACAAAAATAACTATTCAGTTGATATTTCTCCAAAATAATGTATTTAAACATCACATCTAATACTCCCAAGATACATTTACGGCGTTTATGTACTGGAAAAAAATAACTTATTGCGTCAACTTATTACAGAAAACTTCTCACAACTGACCGTTGCGACAGTTTTCTTCCAGTGAAATAGTGCCAATTGATACAAATTACATAACGACGTAACTTACATCAAGCGGCCAGATATAACACTGAAATTATGGCATTATTTTACCATATAGATTCAGCCTTTCTCTTTCTTCTGGTGGGTAAAACTCATTTCACAAAAGTGTTGCAGTTACGTCATTGTTATTCTGGAACGGCGAATGTTCTGAAATGCACCCTTTCCGACCTACTGTAAGTGACGCAAAAAAGGATTATCTGATATTGTGACAATAATAATTGATCAGTTCTTGTAAAAATTAGCATTCCCGTTTTTTCTAGGCTATTTTTTTTCTGCTCACAAAATTATGTGATCCCAGTTATGGATGAGTTGAAGAGGGGTCCACACTTTTATTAGCCCAAATTTTAAGTGCCCAAAGAGTAACCCTAAATTCGAATAACATAATCTTGTTGGCCATGAAAGTGAATAATCTGAAAGTTTGGTATCTAAATAACATCGAAAAAATTCAAGGGGTGATTCCTTGTAATATTTTTCCGTTTTCGAGATAATATTTCCATGAAAAATATTTTTTCTATTTATTTCTCAATTGTTTTTTGATCCATTTCAATAAAACGTTGTGGTTTTATTAATAGTAATATGGAGCTTCTTTGAGTGCAATTATATTCGAAATAATATTTCCAGTGGCGTAACAGTGGAAAAAATTTATCGTTCTTCATGGTGAATGTCATCATGGTACACCACCGGTTTCTTCAGCTCCATATCTTTATTAGATTAAACTATTGAAATAACAACTTTTTTTATCTTATGTGTGATTTTTGTATCTAGCTTAGTTTTTGAAGAAGCAATAAAAATTTGATTTGACTCCAAATGTTTATGTAGGTGTTTTCAAGACTTCCATTGAGATTACTCAATAACCCCAATTAGAATCATTTTGAAATTTTCCTCAGTCTCCACCCATACTGAATTTTGGCACCATGTAAGCTTATACAGGGGTCTTTTGAATAAAAACAGTTAATACCTTCCAACTTCAACATCCTGTATCTCAAAAACAGAGCAAGTAAGGACACATGTTTATATATGAACTTTATTTGCTAAAATGTTACAAGGAAACACCCCTTGAATTTTTTCGGTGTTATTTAGATACATCCTGTGTAACAAATGTAGGAAATAGAATGTTTCTATAACTGTCAAGGAAACTGTACTTTTTCAATATACAAGGTGAATCTGAAAGTGAGTCTTTCCAATAGGATATATATCTCACTGTTAAATCTCTTTCGTCGAATAATCAAAAATTGTCTGGTCTTAATTTTACCTTTTATTTCGTCTCGTACAATTAGAACTCTGACGTCTTTCAAAATTATTATTTTTCACTACTATCTTTTTTTTTCTATCAAACCTCAATGACATATCCAAAACTATATACAAAGCGTTCAACTAAAATATAACGAAGTAACATTCTTCCCCCCGTGAGGGAGTTTAACTCGTCTCACTCTCTTGATCTCCTCGGGGGTCTTCTACATCGATTCTACAAAGCTTAGCCACTGGCCTTTTGTAGATTCCAGTAGAAGTTTTCACATCTGCGATGCGCA